ATTCCCAGCTAAGTAATAAAAATTTTGAGATACGTAGGTGGTGCATATCACTTCCTGCGTTCAACTGTAAAAGTTAGGGGTTTACGCCGAGGGAACATTTGCAGGTTCAAACAATTTAATACTTTCATGTAACCTCGTCTGTAAATTCCGAAGTCCAGGCCCTTGATAGCTAATGGAGAGCGCTCGCCAACAATAAAGTTCTTTCATGGATTTACGAATGGAAGTGGGTTAGACGGAAAAACTGTAGTTATTGGGTGAACCAGTCGAATACGGACAGTCCATCTATTCCCATTTTCGGCTTATCAGTCTCAAAAGGTTTCCTACACCATAGTTGCTTAGCAGACTACTCATTTCTAGGGGGCCCTATCTATTCTGCTTCGGTCTGTCGCTTTAGCGTCCAGTTCAATATCATCCGAAGTCCGCGGCCATTTTGGGTCAATATCAACAGAAATATTTCTGGGTTGAAGGCGTCTTGCTGTCTTCATGTCATGCGAAATTCTCCGGAGGTTGCAATGCGCCTTCAAGCTTGACAGTCTCCGATCAACGGGTCAGTACCACCGTGCTTATCGATGAAATTAGCATCCAACCACATCATTCCAGTGAACGTTAAAGAGGTAACCAACCGGACGTGATAAGTTTTCCACACAACAACGTAACCATCATCCCACCTCGAACATACTTCCTTCCAGTGCCAACATCCGCCTGCCACAACTGAGGGCGTAAAAAAATATTTATTCCTGAATATAGGGGCATACACCATTTTTACGGGTATGAATAAGTTACAACATAAATTGCATGCATCGCTGTAGCAGGCAGTCTCGATCCCTACTTATTTTTTCACTACGGGATATAAGTGCTGCATGCTAATACGATGAAACATCCCAGTAGAAGTACGCAAAAGTTTGCAAGTTCAACAAGCCAAAGTATTATCTTCTTATTAATAAAAACGCAGAGTTTGTGCCTCGACATTACAGGTATTACCTGGGGAAAAACAAAGCTTTAAGCTGATTCTTCCATCGTAACACGATGTACTTTTTTCCTGGGATAATAATGGAGAGTTTATGAGGGGATACGTAAACAAGTTGCTTTTTTATTGTACTTCATTGATGACCCCGGAGCTGTGGAACTCATGCGTGTTCACATCAATTCATATCAAAGGTCTTTCCCTGCATTCCCTAACCCTAGTATCTGCAGTGAGACCCATGCCTTCCCCATATTATTGCTAGCAATGCTTATCTTTTCGCAAGTCCTTTTCTCTACTTTTTTATAATCCATGTCTCACTACTTTTTAAACGCTTACATGCAGGTGACAACGAAAATGGGGGTTAAAACAGTTAAACGAGTTCATCTCTCACCTCTTTGCTCCACCAAGCAAACCCAGAAGGTGCAGAACACCCTCAAATAGACAATCACTATCTCCAAAGCCACAGGCGGGAAGCACACAGGAACTTCTGTGACCACCAAAGAAGCATGTACAAACATTGATGCCTAGCTGCGAGGGGTGATCCCCGAATTTCCAATGCGAACCCGCAACCTGTCGAACCAGCCAGGTGGAACACGGGGGAAGTTACTCAGTGGCGAGATTGGATGGAGGTCGTGAGCCGGCAGAAGCAGGAAATATGAACTTCCGGATTCCGACCAACTGGCTTAGTCGTGACGTGCTGGCTGTACAACCCAGAGGTCCTGGTTTCGATCGCTGGCAGGCAAGGTCATAGGTGCGCACGGGTGAGCAGTCCCACAGCAGGACGAAATAGCTGTCCAGTGCTCCCAGGTTTTCAGTGTTCCTCCAGCTGATGTCAGTCCATCATGCATTCCAACCTGAAATCAGTTGCTAAATCGCCACAAACTTCTAGATTAAACAAAACGATGCGAGACCCAAGACCCTGAAGCAAGAGCCCAAAAATGACGAGCCCCGGCCCACACTACCGATGTTGGGTTCTGGAGGGTTAGGTGGCCCATTCTACTTTCGCAGGGGTTATCTTCCCATGATTTTCGCATTTATAGCTTGTATTAAACGATGGTTAGCCCATCTTGAATGGAAGTACAAAGTTTTTCTCAATACAGAGTTTGCGTTGGCCTGATCTGTGGTCGTAATCCTCTAGTCGGGTAGGAAAGAGAAACGAAGCTTCACGCGGTTCGTCTGAAATCCAACAAGGTACTTTTCTTATGTTCAAACTTGAACTGTCCAACAAATGTCTAGGTGTAGCTACTTTGTTTTGCATTTAGGAACTTGTATTAGCTTGAATATGTGTATGGTAGGCTGTGGAAAGAGAAGACTTGCTGCGATCACGAGGGAAACGAAGCCTTAAGGGGAATCGCGGTCGACCATTTTTTATTACAACTTATTTCCCTTTTCAGGATCACCGTTTTGTTGAAACTGTAAAATGGCATGTGAAGGTTTAAAGAATGCTGAAATGACTTCAAGGCATTTGGTATCATTTTTAAAGACCTGTGTGTCAGCAACGTAGGTCTAAGGACCTATGTCACACTTGACTGCCTCCCGGATAATGTTGGTTTTCTTAGGTTTCAATATCATATCTACCATATATTTCTCATATTGCGACAGCGCTTTTATGTCATATATTTTCTTCCAATTTGTCGCATTTATACCTGTGCCATATGAAACTATCATTGCAATGCTTCTTCCCCAAATTTCGTAAGGACGTCCTTCACTGAAAATTAGTAGGGGCCAACTAAAGTTTCCACGACTGACACACAAAGTCGTCGCAAAACCTCGTACACAGGTGCACCAGTTCTAGTTTCTGCACTCCACTGTAGCACATGAAGAACAGGTGGATAGAAAAAGAGTGACATCAGGGTAGGAAACGTTGTGCCATTGAGAACATAATCTGAAGGGAAAGGTCAGTGAGAGTATTTAAGCTTTAGAAGAGGTCGAGGAGTGAATGCGTCTGGGCATTGTGACTGATTTTCGGCCAAGTCACCACGGGTCCCCAATCACAGATTCCTTTCGTTTTGGGGACCCCAGCCAGGTGGTCTACAATTTCCCACAGGACTCAAACCGATGGCCAGTGACTTTATGAACTGGCTACACATCACAGTATGGCAAACCTAAATAAACCCCAATATAATCCAGCTTCCCTTAGCATAGCGCGTCCAGGAAGTCAGTGGTTTGACACGCTCAATTCATGTCCAAGCCACCTCACTTGATGAAGGTTCACAACAGCACCAGTTGAATGGCATGCCTTGCCCAGTACCCGTTGCCTGACTTCGACATTTCTCACACAGCCACTCCACCGTAAGCGAACAAAGCCACGAAGAAACCCGTGATCGAAACAGTGCAACGGCATCAAGGCCACATAGCGGGGCGGAACGGATTCATGAATTCATCCTGTGACAGTCGAATACCTCGCCAGCAAGCGTCACAAACACACTCAGATTTCTGCTCGACGCTTTCGGGCGACCTTGCGTGGCGTTAGCGTCTTTGCTTAGCTGGGCAATATTGTCTGCATACTCCAGGTCAGCCAGGTGACATCAAAGGAGCTGGTGAATCCCTGTGGAGCCAGACGCACTAAGGACCACAATCATTATTGCGTCTATGACGAAGTTAAATAGGAACGGTGACAGTGGGCACCCGTGGTGGATACCTTCAGTTGTCATCCCTTCAAATAATAAATCCCCATAAGCTCTCATCAGCGTCATGCACTTTTTCGCTCTTCTCAGGCAGATACCATCACAACACCTTACGTTTGACAGAGTCAACTGTCGCTTGCAGGATAAGAAATGTGTCAGGGGTCGATCGTTGGCCTGCAGGCGTGCCTGTGTTTCAGAGCCCATCATAGGGTAAAAATATGATCCATGCGCCATAGCTGAAGTCCGAAACCTCCCTGGTTTTCTCGAGTTTGGTGTTTTCCGCTCCGCCTGGCAGTGGGATAACCATGGACTGTGGGACCTTGTACGCAATATTAGTAAAACGAATTCCCCGATGGTTGTCACAAGATTTTTTTGGCTTCCAATAGACTGGGATGATCAGAAATGCTGACCAGTCTGGTGGCATCATCTCTGATTTCCGTTCACTGCTAAGCTTCTTCGTCACTCTTACCTCCAACTTCCTGTCTCTATCCCTGGAATCCGGTGCCGAAATGTAAGGTCCAGTTGCTTTTAGTAGTTTCAGGTCCGATGCAGCTTTCCCAGTTTCAGGAGACGCGGAGAACTGACATATGTATCCCATTCAGGTGCAGGCTGAATTTTGGTCAGCTGGAGCTATCCTGGGGCCATTTGAACGGTGTCTTGGTGTTCTGCTCAACACTGTAGTTGGTTGTCAGCGTCCTATCGTTTTCAGGGACAGTCTGATACGGTTGCATTCTTGCCGGCATCCTTAATAGGTCTAAATAGTTACCGAGTGTCACCCAGTGCTCGTTACCCGTCAAACTCTTGCCACTCACCACTACCGTCGATCGACGCAAAGACTCTCGGTTAGTATGCGTTTGAACCACTTTCGCTCATTGGTCTAAGGAAAATCCCCCACCGATTAGGCCAACGTCTGTGTAAGTAGGTGACGAGAGGGAAACCTCCATAAGAATATCTATGATAAAATTAAACAAGAATCGAGATATTGGGCATCCTTGACGGGCACCACTTGATGAGTATAGCTCCCTGGACAACTCACCATAGGCTCTAACATGCCCACAAGTGTTCGAGTAGAAAGCTTTCAATAACATGATGTACTTTTACTAGGCACGCCTTTCAGTGACAGACATTGCCATAAGACTTCTCGATCAACGGAGTCAAATGTCGCCGCCTTCAGGTCGGGAAACACACATAAACCAAGTTTACATAACTATATATAATGAAATAATTAATAAGCAATTACTTTTTAGGCTAGCAGGAGAAAGTTTTACAAGTCTTTGATATAAAGTTAACTCATACCGATCTGATGTACTCAATTCACTTATAGTCATAAGTTCGAATCTACAAAACTTATTATTCACAATATCATTCTACTTATCACCAAAGTAACATAGTCAAAAAAATATAACCAGTATGAAATATAATATGTATTCATGTGTAGAGGTTAAAAAAAGATAGAAAATATGTATGTGATATAATTATATTAAGGGATAATTATCAGTTATACAAATTACACCGGAGTAGTTATATCAATGGGTCATCTCATTATATTATATTGTTTTAATCATTGAACATATATTCTTGAACAGATAGAAACGATAAGGTTAAAACAATAAGAGGTTAATTAAAGTACATTTGATCAATTGTAATACTACTAGCAAAACTACTACTACTACTACTAACAATAATATTCATAGTAGTAGTATAAACAGAAAGTTTCCTTTCCTACATTATTCACAATTAAACATAATAAGAAACATTTGAAGTAACAAATTTATAATTATCTAATTGTTCAGGCGTAAATTTCAATGATTGTTCATGCCATACATCTTGATGACTACGTGAATAAGCTGAAATAGTTGAAGTGATCACTTTTTTAATTGGTTGCGGATCATGTATATGATTAGTTAATTCTGATATAATAAATGGTAGATAATCTGGTGTTGTATGCGGATGTCCATGTATAAATGAGCATAATGCTAATATAGCTGTATAACGTGATCGTATAGGTGATTGATAATCATGATCATTGGTTAAACGATTCCCTGTTTGAATAGTATTAGATAAAGATTGATTGATAGATTTGGGAAGTGGTCGATTCATTTGTTTCACTAAATCATCAATCCATTTTGCATCGTACTATACACAAACACATACACATATATATATATATAAATATGAAGAAAGAATATCAGCATATATTTATATAAAATGATGAATAAATTATAAAAACAAAAATGACATAAACTTTCAGCTACTCCACATATACATACATGAAAAACATCTAAGAATTACTGCCGCATAAACTCAAAGTTCTACGGGTGAAAACTAACAAGTTGACAGAAGAGGCAGGGCAGCCAAGGAAGACGGGACCTCAGGTGAACGTAGAGAATACACAGGTGATGAAGGTACCCAACCACTACCACCACCAACAACAACAAGCTCCAATCACCATCAACAGGAGGAACTTAAAGGAAGTAGCCTCTTTCACCTATCTACGCAGCATACTCTCAACTACAGGCGGCACCACAAACGAGGACGTCAAGGCCAGCCAGGATCGGAAAGACAGCAAGACAGGCGTTCATCAACCTGAAACCAGTGTGCACATCTTCAGCACTCCACTCCACTCCACTCAGCATAAAGCGTCAACAACATCCAGAATTTCAACTCCAATTCAGTCAAGTCAGTCAGTGCTTCTGTGTGATGGTTCACAGACTTGGTGCGTTACCAAAAGCATTTCCAACAAAGTACAGACACTCATCAACAAGTGACTGCGGTGGCTCGTTGTTACTGAAGATCAGATGGTGATAATAATGAGAATAAGCAACAAGGAACTGTGGCTGGCTGGCTGGCAACAAACCAACGAACCAAGGACCTATCGCTCAACAAACAAATATGTGGTGGAAGGAAGTGGAGATGGATTGCACGTAGCACACATTGAGAAGACCGACTGGAGACATCACGTGCCAGGCCAGGCATTCGAGTGGAACATAGATGGGAAACGACGAGTTGGTCGTCCCAGGTAAGGGTGACATGGAGGAGATGGTGTGACTAAGAAATGAGAGGTTGTGGGCTGTCATGGAGTGAGGTTGAAAAGATTGTAGAGAAGAGAGTGGAATGGAGACATAAATAAATAAATAGAGATCCAAGTGTTAGATGCAGTCAGACAATGTAAACTTTGCTGACGTATACTTTATCATCAATTAGTAGGGTAGAAACAAAAAAAAAGGAAATGAACTCAACAACCATATGGGCGTATGTGCCGAGACTATGGTAGGTAAAACTTAAGTTCGAACTCATGATGTATTCATTGATTAATCGAGTATTTAAACCAATTGTATGAGAAATGATGACTAACACATTACTCATGAAAGTCATCAGTTGAGGTCGATGTACATTCAGTTGATAAGTCAGAAATAGGATGAAATGTGTATACATACATCTGCTAGGGTCGCGTGTACTGTACAGCAGTCCGCTCTCTTCTACTGTATGGCTATGAAACATGGCCATTGAAAGTGGAAGGTGTTTCACCACCATTACCGTGGTAGTATAGGACGTATTCCGTGGTGTCACCATGTGAGTAATGCAGAAGTTAGGTGAAGAGTTTTGGGAGAAGAGGTAAGTCAGTAGACGAGGTTGTGAACCTTCATCGACTGAGATGGCTGGTTGGGACACGTACTACGTACGCCTAGTCACCGATTGCCTCATCACACAATGTTGGCTGAGGTTGGTCCAGGCTGGAAAAAGGCAGAAAAGAGGTGGCCAGACTAAAACATGGCACCAATGTATGAAGTGTGTGACTGTTGGTTTAAGCCATGTAGGACGATGCAGACTAGGTGGTTGGGGTCGGAGGGACAAGAGGAACCAGTGGTTGGAGACTGACCCTAGGTGATATGGCTCAGGACCGATGTGAGTGGCTCAGATGTATACACACATTATCCTCATCTTAACAACGCTATACCGAATCTCACTATTTTGTCACTCCTCTTTCCTTTCTTCTCGTACTTTATATTTCTTTTGACTGCATTCACTTATCTTCATCCTTCACCTCACTGCCTTTTTACTTGATGTGCTGATATGAGGTGTGGCAACTCGGACCGTTACGCAGTAATGCCTAGTCCTATGTTGATAATGATGATAACATCTGCTAGCTTATAAAATATCTATCTACTTAAATTATATACGTATGAGTATGATATTATTATGAACAATGATATAATTGAATAGATAATAGATTATATGATATTAAATTAATTATACAATATACTTACCTTAATTAAATTAATCTCAATGAATACAGCCATAACAAACATAGCAGTATGACAAACTTCTAAAAAAGGATCATTTAAACAATCCCATAAAATATTTATTAAACGTTTATTTATAATTTGTTCAATTGTAATATTATTCAATGATGATGATGACGAGTTTTCATATTTATCATTATTATTATTAGTATTATTATTATTATAATGAATAGTATGAAATGCTGATAAATTGAATATAATAAGATTTCTAAATAATAATAAACCGATAACACGTGTACGCCATGATTCATGCTTTAAAAAATATTGAATAAATTGTTCAATTGAATATAAAACATTTTCTATATTATATTGTTGTTGACCTGATAATGCTAATGTAGAAAAATCTAATAGATATGAAGATAAACCAAAATATAAACCATCTAATTCTTTATTAAGATAATCTTTTATTGATAGACTAGAATTATCTTGAAATATATTCATATTTAATGAAAGTATCAAGTAATCATATGCATTATTAATAGAACAGACATCAGCTATTAATGGCATTAACCATTGACAAATATTTGTATAACATGTTAAATTCAATTGATGCATACAATTTTCTACAATATTATTATCTTGTCTTTCTTTTGAATAAATAGGATATTGTTTTGCTAGTGAAAATGTTAAACATGTATATAAAGAGAAAAGACGATTAGATAATACAATCATTTCTGATCGACAATTAATCTTTTTATCAATACTATTCCTGTCATCTTCTTTAATCAATTCTTTATTATTCTGTATAAAAAAAAGAAAGAAAGAAAAATACACGAGTAAAGCATAAACATATATCAACATATACATAAACAAACAAACGGATAAATAAACAAACGGATAGATAAATCAAGAAGCAAATGAATAAACAAATGGACGAATGAATAAATAAATAAATGAAAAAAATAGATGAATGAATAAACAAACAAACGGATAAATAAATAAAGTGAATAAATAAATAAATAAATGGACCAATGAATGAATAAAGAAATGAAAAAATGAACAAACGAATAAATAAACGAATGGATGATAAATGAAGAAGTAGATAAATAAATAAATGGACCAATGAATGAATAAACGAATAAATAAATGAATGCATGATAAATGAAGAAGTAAATAAATAAATAAATGCACCAATGAATGAATAAATAAATGAAAAATGAACAAACGAATAAATAAACGAATGGATGATACATAAAGAAGTAAACAAATAAATAAATGGACCAATGAATGAATAAACGAATAAATAAATGAATGCATGATAAATGAATAAGTAAATTAATAAATAAATGGACCAATGAATGAACAAACGAATAAATAAATGAATGCATGATAAATGAAGAAGTAAATAAATAAATAAATGGACCAATGAATGAATAAATAAATAAAAAAAATGAATAAACGAATAAATAAATGAATGCATGATAAATGAAGAAGTAAATAAATAAATAAATGGACCAATGAATGGATAAATAAATAAAAAAAATGAATAAACGGATAAATAAATGAATGCATGATAAATAAAGAAGTAAATAAATAAATAAATGGACCAATGAATGAATAAATAAATAAAAAAAATGAATAAACGGATAAATAAATGAATGCACGATAAATGAAGAAGTATATAAATAAATAAATGGACCAATGAATGAATAAATAAATAAAAAAAATGAATAAACGAATAATAAATGAATGGATGATAAATGCAGAAGTAAATAAATAAATAAATAAATGGACCAATGAATGAATAAATAAATAAAAAAAATGAATAAACGGATAAATAAATGAATGCACGATAAATGCAGAAGTAAATAAATAAATAAATGGACCAATGAATGAATAAATAAATAAAAAAAATAAATAAACGGATAAATAAATGAATGCATGATAAATGCAGAAGTAAATAAATAAATAAATGGACCAATGAATGAATAAATAAATAAAAAAAATGAATAAACGATAAATAAATGAATGCATGATAAATGAAGAAGTAAATAAATAAATAAATGGACCAATGAATGAATAAATAAATAAAAAAATGAATAAACGAATAAATAAATGAATGCATGATAAATGCAGAAGTAAATAAATAAATAAATGGACCAATGAATGAATAAATAAATAAAAAAAATGAATAAACGGATAAATAAATGAATGCATGATAAATGCAGAAGTAAATAAATAAATAAATGGACCAATGAATGAATAAATAAATAAAAAAATGATAAAACGGATAAATAAATGAATGCATGATAAATAAAGAAGTAAAAAAATAAATAAATGGACCAATGAATGAATAAATAAATAAAAAAAATGAATAAACGGATAAATAAATGAATGCATGATAAATGCAGAAGTAAATAAATAAATAAATGGACCAATGAATGAATAAATAAATAAATAAAATGAATAAACGAATAAATAAATGAATGCATGATAAATGAAGAAGTAAATAAATAAATAAATGGACCAATGAATGAATAAATAAATAAAAAAAATAAATAAACGGATAAATAAATGAATGCATGATAAATGCAGAAGTAAATAAATAAATAAATGGACCGTTGAATGAATAAATAAATAAATAAAATGAATAAACGAATAAATAAATGAATGCATGATAAATAGAGAAGTAAATAAATAAATAAATGGACCGTTGAATGAATAAATAAATAAATAAAATGAATAAACGAATAAATAAATGAATGCATGATAAATGCAGAAGTAAATAAATAAATAAATGGACCAATGAATGAATAAATAAATAAAAAAATGAATAAACGAATAAATAAATGAATGCATGATAAATAAAGAAGTAAATAAATAAATAAATGGACCAATGAATGAATAAATAAATAAAAAAATGAATAAACGAATAAATAAATGAATGCATGATAAATAAAGAAGTAAATAAATAAATAAATGGACCAATGAATGAATGAATAAATAAAAAAAATAAATAAACGGATAAATAAATGAATGCATGATAAATGCAGAAGTAATAAATAAATAAATGGACCAATGAATGAATAAATAAATAAATAAAATGAATAAACGAATAAATAAATGAATGCATGATAAATAAAGAAGTAAATAAATAAATAAATGGACCAATGAATGAATAAATAAATAAATAAAATGAATAAACGAATAAATAAATGAATGCATGATAAATAGAGAAGTAAATAAATAAATAAATGGACCAATGAATGAATAAATAAATAAATAAAATGAATAAACGAATAAATAAATGAATGCATGATAAATGCAGAAGTAATAAATAAATAAATGGACCAATGAATGAATAAATAAATAAATAAAATGAATAAACGGATAAATAAATGAATGCATGATAAATGCAGAAGTAAATAAATAAATAAATGGACCAATGAATGAATAAATAAATAAATAAAATGAATAAACGAATAAATAAATGAATGCATGATAAATGCAGAAGTAAATAAATAAATAAATGGACCAATGAATGAATAAATAAATAAAAAAAATAAATAAACGGATAAATAAATGAATGCATGATAAACGCAGAAGTAAATAAATAAATAAATGGACCGTTGAATGAATAAATAAATAAATAAAATGAATAAACGAATAAATAAATGAATGCATGATAAATAGAGAAGTAAATAAATAAATAAATGGACCAATGAATGAATAAATAAATAAAAAAAATGAATAAACGAATAAATAAATGAATGCATGATAAATGCAGAAGTAAATAAATAAATAAATGGACCAATGAATGAATAAATAAATAAAAAAATGAATAAACGATAAATAAATGAATGCATGATAAATGCAGAAGTAAATAAATAAATAAATGGACCAATGAATGAATAAATAAATAAATAAAATGAATAAACGAATAAATAAATGAATGCATGATAAATGCAGAAGTAAATAAATAAATAAATGGACCAATGAATGAATAAATAAATAAAAAAAATAAATAAACGGATAAATAAATGAATGCATGATAAACGCAGAAGTAAATAAATAAATAAATGGACCGTTGAATGAATAAATAAATAAATAAAATGAATAAACGAATAAATAAATGAATGCATGATAAATAGAGAAGTAAATAAATAAATAAATGGACCAATGAATGAATAAATAAATAAAAAAAATGAATAAACGAATAAATAAATGAATGCATGATAAATGCAGAAGTAAATAAATAAATAAATGGACCGTTGAATGAATAAATAAATAAATAAAATGAATAAACGAATAAATAAATGAATGCATGATAAATAGAGAAGTAAATAAATAAATAAATGGACCAATGAATGAATAAATAAATAAAAAAAATAAATAAACGGATAAATAAATGAATGCATGATAAATGCAGAAGTAAATAAATAAATAAATGGACCGTTGAATGAATAAATAAATAAATAAAATGAATAAACGAATAAATAAATGAATGCATGATAAATAGAGAAGTAAATAAATAAATAAATGGACCGTTGAATGAATAAATAAATAAATAAAATGAATAAACGAATAATAAATGAATGCATGATAAATAGAGAAGTAAATAAATAAATAAATGGACCAATGAATGAATAAATAAATAAAAAAAATGAATAAACGAATAAATAAATGAATGCATGATAAATGCAGAAGTAAATAAATAAATAAATGGACCAATGAATGAATAAATAAATAAAAAAATGAATAAACGAATAAATAAATGAATGCATGATAAATAAAGAAGTAAATAAATAAATAAATGGACCAATGAATGAATAAATAAATAAAAAAAATAAATAAACGGATAAATAAATGAATGCATGATAAATGCAGAAGTAAATAAATAAATAAATGGACCAATGAATGAATAAATAAATAAATAAAATGAATAAACGAATAAATAAATGAATGCATGATAAATAAAGAAGTAAATAAATAAATAAATGGACCAATGAATGAATAAATAAATAAATAAATGAATAAACGAATAAATAAATGAATGCATGATAAATGCAGAAGTAAATAAATAAATAAATGGACCGTTGAATGAATAAATAAATAAATAAAATGAATAAACGAATAAATAAATGAATGCATGATAAATAGAGAAGTAAATAAATAAATAAATGGACCGTTGAATGAATAAATAAATAAATAAAATGAATAAACGAATAAATAAATGAATGCATGATAAATAGAGAAGTAAATAAATAAATAAATGGACCAATGAATGAATAAATAAATAAAAAAAATGAATAAACGAATAAATAAATGAATGCATGATAAATGCAGAAGTAAATAAATAAATAAATGGACCAATGAATGAATAAATAAATAAAAAAATGAATAAACGAATAAATAAATGAATGCATGATAAATGCAGAAGTAAATAAATAAATAAATGGACCAATGAATGAATAAATAAATAAAAAAAATAAATAAACGGATAAATAAATGAATGCATGATAAATGCAGAAGTAAATAAATAAATAAATGGACCAATGAATGAATAAATAAATAAATAAAATGAATAAACGAATAAATAAATGAATGCATGATAAATAAAGAAGTAAATAAATAAATAAATGGACCAATGAATGAATAAATAAATAAATAAAATGAATAAACGAATAAATAAATGAATGCATGATAAATGCAGAAGTAAATAAATAAATAAATGGACCAATGAATGAATAAATAAATAAATAAAATGAATAAACGAATAAATAAATGAATGCATGATAAAT